GGGGGGTTCAACCTTGGAAGAATATTGTTGTGTATTGACATTTAATTTCAAAGAATATAATAATATAGCAATATGTTGTATTAGTCATGGGTGGGGTTTATTCTCAGCTCAAAACAGGAAGGAAGGAAGAAAGAAAGACTGATTTTGCTTCATGAAATATTCCCCAATATTCACTCTACAGATGCCCCTTTCCGGTTGGCTCTCCTCCAGAGAAGTTCTGTCACGGAGCAGCACGACAATGACACGGATGTCCTCTCGACGTGGCAGAGTTGTTTACTTCTGGACCACATTCCTCACAACGCCCACGCTGTCGTCTCGCAGAAGTGTGCGGAAAATGTAAGCTTGTAGGGCCTGACTTGCTGGTAAATGTCAGTTTGTCAACTAGGGGTTTAATTTTGTCTTTACTTCTTGAAAGTGTTGTATGCAAAAGTATTTTTTGAAATTCCCTTGCCACTGAAAAGTTGTGGGTTCAAAGCCCATCAGGGGCCTGAAGATGTGGCCTTGGGAAAGGAACTTCTCCTGAATTTCCTATGGGAATGGGATGTGACTAAAAGACAGCGAAAGGTCTTGTCAGTTTGTCAGTGTTTGAGTGCTTAGTTGGCTGTTTGCACTTATGCCTATTGGGAAACTAAGAATGTTTTTGAGTGTTCTAGAGTCTGCTGGTTCAATAAATTGTTAAGTGCATAGAGCTTGCTGTTGAGCAGGGACATGCGTTAAGCAAATGTGTGACAACCAGGTGAGATCAGTCGTCAAAATAATGAAATAAAAGAAACTGATATTTTTCCACATTGTTTGGCAATTTTTATCAAATTTTTTGGTTTGGGCTCACCACCTTTTTTGTCCATTCCAAAACACATTCCAGCATAGAATTAACTAAAGGACTTTGGTCAAAGGTACCAAAAAAAGTAAATTTGCAATATTCAAGGAAATTACAGATTTGGCAGTCGGCAAACTGTGACGGCAAATTTCTCACTTATTTTACTCCTGACCGCCTTCTACAATGTCAAATGTCTCGACTTCTATTCCAGATAGATGAGTATTGTTTTCTCATGAAAATCAAGGCAAAGGAACAGGTTTTATGATTATTCCAATAACTCCAACTATGCCCCAAAACTGACAGGTGCCTGATTCCACTGCGTCATGACACATTTGCCTTTACATATATATATATATTTAATATGTATATGGGGTTTTTTTTTCCACTCTCCAGGCCAACTCTGAGCTGGCTGGGACATGCACCGAGAGCAGCTACCACCTGACCATCAAAGTCCCCGACGTGGATTGTGAGGACTGTATACTGCTGCTACAACAAGTCAGAGTTCCGACAGGTCAGAGGCAGCTTGGTTCTATGTCTTCATCGTAGCAGTATTTGTATACCCAAACACTCATACATATCAGGTGACAATATTATATTTTAAGGCTTCCCAGGAGGATAGAGATACTATGTACAATATCTTCACCAGGTTGAAAGTGAACTCAAATCTTTTTGGCTTGAGAGTAAGAGTTAATACAGGATGCCCATAACAGCTGGATCAGGCCAATCACTTGACTCGGTCGTCTGAAATTGAAAACATGTTTGTTTTTTAGGCGACCGAGTCGGGCCTATCCGCCGATCCCGTCCGTAATGGGCACCCTGTATTAGCCGGTCCTCCTCTGACATAGCTGTATATTCCAGAGCTCAGATATAGGAATGTGCTGTGAACAAAATATTCAAATGTGCAAAGTCCAGAATGAAAATTTTTCAGGAGAGAGAAAAACTGTTACATTCTTGTAAAAATAGTGTACTTAGATTATGTATCTTCTCTGGCTTTTTTCAACATTTGAAATTTGAATTCCACAAGGGCATGTGACCGATACCACAGCTTAAAAAATTGCATTAAAAATTTTTCTCCATCTTCTGTCATCTGTGTGTGTTCTGTCATATCTGTGTGTGTTCTGTCCTATCTGTGTGTGTTCTGTCCTATCTGTGTGTGTGTGTACACCAATGTTCTGTTATATCTGTTTGTGTTCTGTGGTTCCCTCAGGTGGCCAGGTTTGTGAGTTGAACGCCCAGCACAACAACAGCCTCCAGTGCTCGGTGTACCACAGCTGTGCCAGGGTCAGCCTCAGGTTAGTCTACTCATTGAGATATGATGTGATAAGAAGAAGAAGAAGAAAAAGAAGAAGAAGAAGAAGAAGAAGAAGAAGAAGAAGAAGAAGAAGAAGAAGAAAAAGAAGAAGAAGAAGAAGAAGAAGAAGAGCAACAACAACAACAACAACAACAACAACAACAACAACATTAATGATAAGTTTGTCCCTCAATATCTGATATATATTATTATGTTGGTGTCCTGAAGCAGTCTGTCCTCAAAACCCCATGACCAAACATGTTGTTAAGCTACCATTTTGGCACACTTTGACCGAATTCAACTCAATTAGACTGTGACTTTAAAAATCAAACTCATAGGTTTTCCAAGGTAGTAAGTGAAATGGGTTGTATTGTGTCATAATGGTAGCTTTTGCCCCTTGATGAAGGAAAATCTGTCTAGCCCCGGCTCAATCAAATGAATCAAACTAGCATGGTGCACTGTAGAGCTGGGCAAAGAATCAATTCTTGAACCGATTCCCTCGATTTGTGCTACGTACAGAGGAAAGTTCAGATTCCTACGGCTATAATTACTTTATTCATTAAAATCTTCTTTTTTCTAGAATTAATTTTTTTTTTTAGTTGGTGCCTGGCAGTGTTCCCGAATCAATGTTATCCTAAATCCTGAAGACGTTCGGAGCCAACCAGGTAACCAGCGGAAGAAATCACATCATTAGAAAGTAATTGGGTTCGGAGTCGATTCTGACGATCCCTAGCTTTCAACAATCGGGAACCTAAACGTTCATCACTAGTTCACTTTGTGTAACAATGATATTGTTTCCCTTCTACTGGACACATTCAGGGCCACGGCTTTTGGACAGGGTCGTGACCTGAGCTATTGCTCTAACTACCTCGACAATCTACCCGGCGACTGGCCCTACAGACCGCAAGATATCTATAAGGTAACATGTGGGTGTAATACGTGATACAAAAAACATTTATATAGTGTATATTCATGCTCTACAGCAAGCTTTATGCGCTTTACAACTGTTATTACCCCCAGCAGACCCTGGAACACTTAGAAACATTCTCGGCTTCCAGGGAAGCATGCAGTGCAAACTGCTGATTAATTAAGTGCGGAAAATTCGTGGAAAGTGTCTTTCCCAAGTTCTGTGACAGTTCCTGACCTGTGGCAGCAGACTCCAGATGTGTGCTTGTCAACCTTTTTCTAGCCAGCAGCCATTTTTGCTAGGCCCTCTTGGTAACAGTTATAATGGCCGAAATGTTCTCTTTCAGTTTAGAAAGGAAATTAACTTTCCAAACTCTGCTAGTTATTCAGCTTCTTGTAGCTTCTAAATGTCTGTTCACACAAGATAAATATGTGAGGGATTTTTTAGTTTAAGATTATGAAAAAATGTTTATTGTAATTTTTGTGTGAATTTAAAGATTTGTTGCTTTTTGGTATCGGTATGTGTGTATGAACCCCTCATGTGTTGTGTTCTCTGTGTGTGACAGACAGAGGACGGAGCCACTCTGCGGATGGACCTGGTCCACACCACCCTACACCTACACGTACCACAAGATTCCAAACTGTGAGTCTCCTTCCTGCTTGTTCTCTGTGTGGTCTCAGTTCCTGGAGTTTTTGTACCATTACACCTGCTCTAACGGCCACTTGTCAAAGACAATCACCTGTACGAATGACCGTTTTCCTCATATTTCCCACATTCCCCTTTTGCATTTTAGAAAAATATTCTTATAATGACTCTGTTCAAGATGTCCTCCTGTCTAAGACAACAATTTCTTTCCTCGGTGGGGTGGGGGGGGGGGGGGGGG